ACACACACACACACACACACACACACACACACACACACACACACACACACACAGCTCAAGGTATAAATGGCATCTCTCCTACAACCTGTAAAAGAACACATAGGTGATACCAATTGGTAACACAAGAGTCAACACCAGATTCAGCACATAGGCTAGCAACTAACATTTATGTGTAGGTCTTAGATCTGTCTTTTCACATTTCTCCCTTAGTCACTATCTGGTATCTACTTAGCAGGCCAGCTGTGTTCTTCACTGTTTCTGTTCCCTTTCTTTTCTTTGTTTTTCTATCTGTTTTTTTTTGTCTCTTTTCATAGACTTTCCCAAAAGATAGTTTCTCAGCCTTGAGGACAGAGGAGTCTCTCTACCTCAAATTCCTAAGAGTTGGGATTGTTGAGCTTATCTGACTTCTGAGTGCAATTCTTTACATCTTTCTCATCTCATTTTACTTTCATCCTGAGATCTCTCACCCTCCCTATTGTCCTTATTGTAGTTTCCCTCTATTTTTTCTATCATTCCACTAATTGCTAGTCTCACTTTGCTTTTCTCCTTTTCCCATACACTCAGAAACTAATATCTAGTGAAAACACTATCAAGATCACCAAGTTAAAATATCACAGGGCTATTGGCACAGTAATGTTTATTGTAGACTGTTCACTATAGCTAAAGTATGGAAACAACTGAAGAGGTTGAGCAATGGAAGAATAGAGAAAATACAGAATGTATACAGAGTTGAGGTTCTGAGACTTTTAGAAGGGAGTCCTAATGGAAGGGACTCAGGCCACATGGGCTCAACTCTGAAAAGTGATCCCTGGGATTTGATTAGTCCGGTAGACAATGTGCTGTGAATCTGGAGAGAAAACAGGCAAGCTGAGGTAGAGATGATGCGTAATTTCCTAAGTGCCAAATCCTGTGTCTCAACTACAAGCTGGACACCCTGAGAAAATTCTGCATAAATTAACAAATTCTGCTCAATGTTTTAGCAACAAATCTGCCCTGCAGACCTGAAAATATTAATGATCTTGATGCAATTCAGCATGAGTCATGTAGTGTCTGACTGAGAGGAATGTACAAATGGGGGCCCCTGTTGCAAAAACAACCATGCAGGGATTTTTAAAACATAGAGCATCTATACTTTTCTAAAATGTTAAAATGTTGAGACTATGTCTAGTCCTCCAAGTCCTTGCTAAGGACCAGGCCACTGTGGTGTGCAAGACCCTTTGCCTTATGTCCTCTTTCACATGGTATGCTTGGCCTCTGTGAGGAGCCAATAATTCAGTGGTTGGGACCAAGCCTGTCCATCTGCTGCTGAAAACAATCCCCCAAAAGAGCCTCTCAGATTATCCTTGTGTAACCTGGCCTCAGAAATAATAAAGTATTAATATTAGAGGGAAGGGGGCTAAGAACAAAAGGCAGGGCCTTGGCCAGGCTACACCAGTGTCCTACTTGTGAGTTATACCCTTACCCTCTTATATGAAAATTTTCAACTGATATTAGGAAAAAAAATTGATGTCATTGCTGTATGACATCATCAGTTCAGGTTTCTACACCAAAACAACCACAAAGTAGCTTCTAATTAACAGAAGAGAGTTTCTTACCTGAAGAAGTAAGTTTCTGCACTCTCGTAATGGCCAGGTGTCAGTCTGAGTGGAGGGTACGTAGTGGCCAGCGGCTGCACCATAAACAAACCCATGGCCAAGGCCACAAAGAGTACGGGCAGGAGCAGGTCTGAGATGGTGCTTTTCCAGGCTCGAAGTGTGCGCAGTAATCGCTTCCTCAAAAGTGCTGCTGCCTGTCCCCAAAGCAGCTGGAAGCCAATCATGGGCTCAGGCAGGGCCCTTGCAGGTGGAGTTCTCACAGAAGAGCCGCCTGTAGGGGATAAAAGACAGACAGAGTGAGCAGGATGCAAATGGACTGGGCTCCTCACTCTGACCTGGTTCTGATGAATCTCTCCATGTATCACGTAGGGACTCTGGACCACCTCTGTAAAGGATAATGGACAGCTTTAACCTACTCATACTAAAGGAGGGCTTCTCTATCCAGACAACCAGTTCAGGGCTTCCTGGTTCACTGTTCTAGAGATTACACTATGACTGGAGGCACTAAACAAAAAAATGAAGTACTTCCGTGATCCCACTGACACTGCTTCTGAGTGGAGTGCAACCGAAAAGAAACCTCCAGCACACCTGATGGCTGAAACAAAACCTGAAGCCTAGGTGAATTCTGAGCCATCAAAGACAGAAAAAGTGCAGGAGCTTCTGTGAGTCCCACCGCTCTGATTAAGCTGGCTGAGGAGAGGGATACTGAAGAGATGCTCTCTCTTCAGCACCCATTCTCTTCCCTGCAAGCCCTGCTGTTCTTTACTTCTGTCCTCAGTTTGGGTCTTTGCTGGAACATTTGCAGACTCTGAGCCTGTGCTGGACATCAGAAAGAAGCATGGCAACTGTTCTTCCTCATTTCACCTCCAAAGAAGAGCGCCTTCCCTCCTGAAGGCAGAGTCTCTCCTCCGGGACAGATGCCAAAAGGTCCACACCCTCATTCATCCCATTCCCACCCTCCCCTCTTCCTTTGTGGACAGCCTCCATGGCCACATAAGTTAGCAAGAAGAATCTAAAAGGAATAGGTGAGCTGAGATGCAGTAATGAGTGGTCATCTATAAGCATTCCTCAAGAGTGAGCATAAGCAGACATCCATGTTTTCTCTGTCCACCTGCCCCAGGGTGTGACTGCCAAAAAGTAAGGCAAACCCAGGGCAGTGGCTTGAACCTGGTCCTATGGGAAGAATGAGCTTGCACAATTACCCCCACGAGCAGTTTTCCCCAAGGTCTAAGGTTCTTCACCAAAACAAACCCAGCATAAAGCATTTTGCAATAAAAGTAGTGACATCAGAGAACAGTCGTAGGAATGGATTGTTCTGTTAAGTGCCAAAAAAAAAAAAAAAAAAAAAAAAAAAAAAAAAAAAAAAAAAAAAAAAGATGGTTTGCAAAAGAGCAGGAAATTAGCTCTTCGGTAAAATAAAATAGGAACCTCTTTTGAAAGACCGGTTATTTGTCAGTGTTAAGACCATCGCTACTGAAGCACAGCGGTGTTACAAAGCATATCTGTATGATTCCCTTATTGCCCAAGGTATTGCGTGATAACCCTATCTATGACAGGATCAGGTTATTTGGGGTTTTTTGTTTTGTTTTGTTTTGTTTTGTTTTGTTTTGTTTTTGTCGAAAAATACACAGCAGAGGGGTTGGGGTGAACATTTAAAGAAATAATGCAACACAATGAAACATGGTGCTGTGATCCAGATAGGGAAACTTTACTGGGTAGGAAGGATAGTGGTTCACAGAGTTTTCGAACAGAGAGCCAAAACAGGAGATATAGAATAGCATGTCCAAAATCACTCTGATATAGCAGAACACAGGGTATCCTTGAATCATAGGTCAGAACCGGAAGTGAAAAGTGATCAAGAAGAAAGGCCAGGACAGTCCCCTATCCAGAACTCAAGATGCCTCCAGAAGGTGCCCTCTGGTTATACCTACACATCATGTTGTTCAAAATGGCTATAAAGAGTGAGCACCAGGTTTTAAGCAACACTAAACAACAGATTTATCTGGAAACTTTAAAAATGCCAGCTTCCTGGCACCAGTTCAGAAAGCCATCTGAACCTCAGACAAATCAATGTGCTCCCTCTGACTTCCCCGCTGCTGAGCCTGGCTCTGGTAATGTTTAATGCATGACCAATGGTGGCCCAGATGTGGCTCTCATAAAGCACTCCCCTCAGCCGATACAGGGACAGGGTTCTAGCAAAGGACTAAACTAAGTGTGACGCTTTCGCTTCTGTGCTGCTGCGCACTGCCCACTTGCAGGATTACACGCAGTTGAACTGGGGAAGTTATGCATATTAACCTACTGGAGATCAAAGCTCTGAGAGGTCATCAGGTTGCCTACTTCCTAAATTTCTAGACGTGATTTTTTAAAATAACGGCTTGAAGTCTTTGTTGGCTTTTGACTAAGGATCTCTCTTAGAGGAATGGCTTGTTCTGTTTTGCTTTGAGAGGCACTGAAGGGCCCCCAGCAGGTCCTGTGACATTTTTATCACCCCCACAGTCCCTAGAAGTCACTCCCCACCAACACACCTTTACGCAGCATCTTTTGATTTCATATCTGACCACCTACATTTATAAATTAGCCACCTTCTCCTGTGTGTACAGCAGGCAAAAGATTTTAACTGTCATTTACATAGTAGAAAAGAGCACACCAAACGTATACTCAGAAAATTTGCCCTGGTGATGGAATGAGTGTGGAAGTAGAGATGGGGATATATGGTCCCTGTTGCTAGTGGCCTCAGTCCCTGAAAAGCCTTTGTGAGTGCCGTGGTGGGGTGGGATAAATCCTATCTTCACTAACCTGGGTGTGAATCCAGTGTTATCCATTCTCACATTGCCTGACTTCTGAAAGACAACATAACCACTCTGAATGCCACCTCCTCAATTCTACAGAGAGATTTAAAATAATTTCCCTCCACATAACGAGGGTTATTAGGATATTTATGAGACTATCAAAGCAGGGGCAATACTGACCTCCAGTTACAGTAAGTGTGCCTCAGACAGCCTCATTATGACAGCACAAGAAAGGTGTGCCTCCTATCAAGAAGAGTATCTCCACTTTTCCATATAAGTTAATTGGATGGAAATAAGAAAAAAAAGGCTAAGTTACTTTATAGTTATAAATCAACCACCATTCAAATATTCATGGCTAAACTTATAAAAGTATTCATATGAATAATTTAATAGACAAAAATTAAAATGCTGGACCAAATTGTTATGAATTGTCTTATTTGACTTATGAGTGCAATTATATTCAAGGACTTCAGTTACATCTACAATTATCTACTCCCATTTACTCAGACCATCAAATCACTTATGGAAAATGTCCAAAGATTTTTTTTTTAACAGCAAGGAGATGACTGTAACTCTTCAAATATAAGCACCTGGCAGAGCTGAAAATGTGGGTTTTATGCATGATGTCCACTTTACCTACAACACTGACATTCTGGCAGACTTAGGATGGAAATATTGCCAGTATAATGCTTTCACATTAATAAAATTAAGTGCTCAAAACAAAATACACATAAAGTGCCTGATTATGCAGTTCATGAAAATTTAGAAATAGTCAATTAATATATATTGTACAACAAAGCAGTAATTTGTCTCCTCAACTCATCTAAATGACAAATATCACAATGTTAATACCAAACATTACTGAGTGTTTAAGGGAAAGGATCTGATGACACATTCCTGGTGAGAGGCCAGGTAAGGAAAAACCACTTACGGGGAATAAATTTCCTATTTCCAATTCCAGAGCTTTGTTAATTCAAAACTAAGTATGCGTAAAATGGGGCGGCTTGCTAGAACTTGCCCAAATCAGCAATGGGAAACTGGAAACAACTCAGTGTCTAAGACCCGGGGACTAACGGGACAAGCCACAGTGTAGGCTGATCACCTTCAATGTTTGGGACTAGAAAGAAGTATCTAAGATTCCAGATGTTTTTTTCAGTTTGGTGATATTGATCTATGCAAAATGAATAAGGGTCTCCAAGTCCAAATACCAAATCCACCAACATTTCACATTCATCTCAACTAAGACACACTGAGAGTCAACAAACATAACCAAAAAGGAAAAGTAAACAAACAAAAAAACCTGTCTCTGCTACTAAATCTTCTCTTCACTCAGAGCTCTATGTTCATCCTCTTGCTATTCCCATGATGGCCACGCATCTTTGTCTTGATGGGCACAGAGGTCTTCGAGAGAGCTACTGAGTCTGTCTTATTCTCTGCTTTCAGTACACTGGCCATCCCAGTGAGACAATCAGTCTGAACTGAAGAATGAGTGAATAGGTAGACAGTCATCAAAGGAGGGTTCAACATTCTTATCTATCACTCTCCTGAGCCCAAAGCTTTCTCCGAGGCTCATTCCTGGCCACATTGATAATATAATACCACCTGTATACCTTTTCCAGTCTCTTTAACTTCTTAATTCCATTCTCTGCATCAGCAAACTTGCTTACGAGGTTCATCCATGGTATATCACACCGTGACTGTTTGAACGCTGTATGTGAACAATGTGCTATAAGTGGCAGGGCACAACATTATTCTAAAGCCTCTGTGTCAAGAAGTGCCCACCATAATTTCACTTTTATAAGTATTATGTATCAGAATTTTGAGTTCAGGTGAGACTTGAGTGAGAATGAAGATGAAGAATACAATCAATGGAAGATACCTAAGGGCTCAATTTCAAGGTAATTCCAGAGTATTAGGAAAAAATGTTAAATATTTGACAAAGGAAAGGCATCTTTTTGTACTGTGGTCTAAAGACACAAATATGGCTGCATCCAAATCCCTGGGCATTTTTGCTTCTGTGTACCAGAGAGGAGATGAGATTTATGGAGTTGTAGATAAGATGGTGTAAGGTACAAAACTCTAAAATCTACACTGCTCTCAAGCCCCAAAATTGTGTGTACCAACTACATGTGGATAATTCTACAGTATGAAATTTTATTCATGAACAAATATATTCAAATTATTACACAAAGTTACCCCTAGGCTGTATACATATGTGCTGAAACATCAATGAATTTCATCTTTAAATTTGGGATCACATCCCATGGCTTCTCTTTTTGTATATTTAAATATGGCACAATCTGAATTATTTCTATTCATAAGTACCACGCTGGAAGCCAGGTCAGAGTGCCCTATTCAGTGCGACTCCAGTGAGGAGGTAAGAATTAGAGAAGAATTGATGAAACCCTTGTGGACACGTTCATCACAGCTTCCTATAGAGAGAGATGTCAGGAAAGGTTGCCTCAAGCTAGACTCATCC